CTACCAAACCAAGACTGGCTTCCCAACGCTACCGCACCTCGGCACTCAAGGTTAATCCGGAGAACTACTTCCGTGATGCCTTTAAAGCTTGGAAATCGCGCTGGCAGCACTGCGTCGACACAGATGTACMCTATTTTGAAAGTTTTTAAAGAATTGTAACGATTGGTTCAATAAATTTGTTTAAATCGACTCAGTCCTATTTCTTTTCGAACACACCCTGTAAATATAGTATTTTCRTTGGATCGAGAAAGTTTTCAACCGAAAAATTTTCACCGAATTTCAATAAGGAATCTTTGTTTAAGCAAATGTTATCAATTTCCTCCAGGATATCCTTATGAGCATGGGAATTTATTGAACCAACTGTGTATCTCTCCTGCAATTTTTTAAAGCTTTACSAGTATCAGAATTCATAATATTGGTACGGTGACCTCACGACCTTCTATCATGAAGTACGTCTCTCAAAATTTGTCCACTATAGAGGTTACTTATAGCATGATGTAAACAAGCTGTCGGAATTCATGGTTTTATATGGAAAGTAGGGGGGTTTGCTACCGATTTAATCCTTTTTCAATACTACATTTAAATMGAATACGTCGAAGTTTAAACTTTAAGATTATTGCGGTTTCAGCATCCAAACGCTGGCAAACTTCAAGTTTATTTCTAAAAGTATTTAAGTGGGAGTGTGTCTATAGTGATTTATTTTCAGGGGTGTCACATATGTGTTACGATAACATTCATGTGACAACGGGAAGTGTTACGAAAAAGATCATTAATATGGAACTGCGGCAACTTTTTCACTGGTTATATAGTAAATATGTACATATTTGTATGTATATGAATGTATGTATGTCGGTAGATTTATGGCGTATTATACGCGTACATTTACGTGCATCGGCGCAGTAATGCACCAAATCTATGGTCAGCCCCCCCTACGGGTAATCCCATTTTGAACAGAGTTTCTTGCTTTTTATTTTTATGTGTATAAGAGACAGGTAATGCACCAAATCTATGGTCAGCCCCCCCTACGGGTAATCCCATTTTGAACAGAGTTTCTTGCTTTTTATTTTTATACCTTTTATTTCGCATCACGTTTGACTCAAAGTATGTCCATCGAGTGCGGTCAGTGTTGCAGTGCACTCTGCCGGTTCTGCACGCTTGCTGCACCGCACTTTGGAATATGTTCATGAAAGTGCTCAAAAAGTGAAAAGAGCCGCACTCATAAAATGCAATGGAGTTGCCTTTCACCCTTTCAAGTGGAGTGCTTACGGCAGGTGCCGCGTTTCATTTGTGATGACCATCATTAGTACGTACATATATGTTTACAGGGTCGTACGGTATGTTTAATTCTTCACTTYAACTTTCGGTAAAAGGACTGTGAGATATGAAAGTTTGAGGGAGAAACTGGAGCTAGTAATTCGCCAAGGCGTATTAGGACTGAGCTTTAAAGAAGAGATATTAATATGAGTTCGTTGCGATTATATAGATTTGGTCAATCGTAAGGAGGTTCTTCATGTATCAAAGTTAATAGACAAGCACATCATCGCCAACGACAAATAGTTGAGACTGAAAGTATTTACATATATCCTAATATATCAAATTGAGCGATATGAATGTCCTCATATACCTATTTAAACCAATTCAGCGGCAAACCATATTGAAGCCCCTTTTACTCTTTGAATCTTTTAGTGTTTCTATCTGTGAAAACGTCTTTCTCTATTTAGAGAGCACTTTCGCTGCTCACTGATGGACAATTGGTCAAAATGTGTTAAGGAAAAGGTAAGTGTTGACAAATCCACCCTTTTATCATGTTATTGTTCGAATCTCGAGATATTATGGAGCTTTGTAAGGCTTCTGAGAAGGTAATTCAACACATGTTCTTGAATAGAAAATCGCCTAGTAAAACAAAAAGCGCTTGGATGCTGTATTCTGTGTCCCCTCTTTAAGAATGGTAAGGAAAGATCACACAACAGATATAGATGAGCCACGTCAATGTAAGGATATGACAAAAATCCACGAATTCGTATTCTTAGACCTCCCAATGAGTGACATAKCTGAGATGGCAGACATTCCAAAAGACTGCGTAGATCTTTTCCTGAATTTAATATTGGAAAGATGAGAGACACCGTT